GAAGGCCTGGAGACGCAATATGTTCAGCGAAGCCCACAAGGCTAGCTTCATGCGCTCAGTAGAAGATGCTACCCTCGCGAATGTGCGAGCTCGCACATCCTGGGAACTGAGAGTTCGTCGGAAACTGTCACGCGGAGGAGGCCTGAGAGACAAGCAATGGCGGTCGGTGCTCAAATCTGCTGCTGGCGCCAGTCATGGCTTGTCTATACCATGCTTGGTGGATGACGCTGGTCACCAACTCCGTATGGATGCTGCCAAAGGTAACTGCCTTGGTCGCTACTTCGCCAATAAATGTAGCCTTGGAGATGATGACTTGGGCCCGGGGCCAACCCGGGGTCACCCCTCTTACCCGAATCCACTTCCGCCTGCAGGTGGAAGTGGATTCGGGTAATGCAAACAGTGAAACGCCTCCTGAACCAGCTCGACGTTGGCAAGGCGTCCGGTCCGGACAACATCCCTGCCCGAGTGCTCAAAGAGTGCTGCCATGAACTTGCATTGCCTCTCACGTCCCTCTTCGCCCTGTGCTTCCGTAAGGGTGTTCAGCCAGAGGCCTGGAAGAGTGCTCGAGTTGTGCCAGTCTACAAGAAGGGCAGCCTATCCAACCCTAAGAATTACCGCCCAGTCTCCCTCCTCCCCATCATCTCCAAAGTGATGGAGCGTATTGTGAACTGCCAAATTGTGAATCACCTTGAAAAACATCATCTCTTGTCAACCAAGCAGTACGGATTTCGCAGTGGCCTTGGAACAGCGGACCTACTAGCAGTGCTTGGGCATGACTGGTCGCTGGCAGCTGGTTCTGGTGGCTGTACCCACGTTCTGGCTGTCGACATTGCTGGTGCGTTTGACCGCGTGTCGCACCCCGGCATCCTACACAAAGCGGCCACTCTCGGTATTGGCGTTGGCCTGCTGCAGTGGCTACGGGACTATCTACGAACTGCACACTAAGGGCAATCGTCGATGGAAAAGAATCTGCTCAATTCCACATTAAAGCTGGCGTACCCCAACGCAGCATCCTGGGACCCACCTTATTCTTGATGTAGGTCAACGATGCTGAGACCTGTCTTTCCCCATCAACGCGAATGGGTGTGTACTAGGGGTGAAACGGTTCGGGTAAGGAACCGGTTTTGGAACCGCCAGCTGAAAAGAATCGGGTACCCGTTCCGTCAAATTTCGAACCGAAACTCGAAAAATCTCGATCTTGTACAAATACATGTACACGTCAAGTCTACTCAAGATTTTACATGTCTTACCTTGCGATCCCCTCTCTTCCAAAGAGTTCTCTGGTCATTATCTTCTTCGCACTTGGACTCTCCGATGTCTCATTCTTGCTCGTGAAAATGTTTTTTTTCTAAAAATAATTGTCGCGAACCCATTTTGTCGGTCTGGAGAAAAGAGTGCATGGAACCGATACCCAAACCGTGGGAAACAATGCTGGCATTCGGGTACCCGAACATGAAAAACCTGGAACCGTTTCACCCCTAGTGTGTACGCAGATGACACCACGCTGCACACCATCATACGATCCAGAGATGACTCTGCTGGCAGTATTGCAGACATGCAATCTAGCCTGGATCGATTGCGTAGCTGGGGAGAACAATGGCGAGTTCGCTTTGAGCCGACAAAGTCGCAGCTGCTGCATATTGGCCACCACCGCAACCCCTGGCCACTCCCAGACCTAACATACGGAGCCCATGATATTCCCTGCGGGGACGAGCTGAAGCTCCTGGGAGTGACCTTCGACAGCAAACTCACCTTCAAACGCCATCTCCGCAATGTTTCTCTTCGTGCTGTAGCCCGGCTAGGATTTCTGTGTCGAGCATCAAGTTTCCTTGGTCGTGAAGGACGCTTGACAATGTACAGAGGCTTTGTACGCCCTGTACTCAAATACACACCATTGATATGGATGGGCGCAGCCAACTCTTACCTGCAAAGTATCGACCGAGTACAGTGGAAGGCCCTTGCTATCATTGGTCCTGACGCCTTGCTGCAGAGCCTAGCTGCCCGCCGCCAAGTTTACGCTCTCACGTACATATACAAGCTAATGTTCCTTCAAGACCATCCAGACCTCTCTGCGCTCGTGCCGCCTTGCCAGGAAGCTAGCCTCGTCTCGCGGACAAGGTCGCAGCTCCGTGTCCGCCACCAGCATCAGCTACAAGCAGTGCTCCTCCCTACGGCCCCCAACTTTCTCCAGCGTTCGTTCCCATAATATTATGGTGTAGTGGATGAATGGAACAGGCTTCCGCAAGACATATTTCCGGATCTGATGGCCCAGTTGAAGTCTCTCCAATCCTTCAAGACGAAAGTCCATCGCCACTTGCGTCAAAATAATTGGCTCTGGGCTACGGACTCACTGTGAGGCCACGTCACCCGTCCTTTCTTGTTTTATTTTATTTCTCTTTAGGCTAACGCGAGTTAGCAGCCAGCCCAGCGAGCTGGCCCAACCTGCACGCATGCGCGAGTCACGTGGGCACGTGCCCTTCCAAATCCTGTACAATGTCTCTTGCGTGTCATTGCTGTTTGGACTTTCGAGCGTGCAACTTGCGGAACATGTGTTCCCAAACAATTACCTTCCCACCCTCCCACCCACTAGCTCAATTCATGTTTCTGGCACACACATGGCAGTACCGTATTTCCCCGTAAGTTAGTTCTCCCCAATGACTTAGTACCCCCCCCCCCCTATAAAAATACACTTTCCACTGCCGAGGTTATCACTCCGAAAGACAGTTCCCCCCGAAAGATAGTTCGTACCCGTCCTACATGTACAGACACCGTACAGTACATATATCATATGCACAGACACTAGAGTTGCGCAGGCTTCCCACTGCGTGTCATTTATCCCCGATAAAATAGTACTCCCCGAAAGATAGTAACACCCCTGAAAGTTAGTACGTACTAACTTACGGGGAAATACGGTATCTGTATAGTCCATGAGAATATAATTATGCTCTCAACTGGTTATGCATCTCTATATATTTAGCATTTGGCGCCTCTACTCAGAGCCATTGGCGGCTCGATGCGGAGTCATTGGCGGCTCGATGCGGAGTCATTCGCCGGCTCGATGCGGAGTCATTCGCCGGCTCGATGCGGAGTCATTCGCCGGCTCGATGCGGAGTCATTTGCTGGCTCGATGCGGAGCCATTTGCCGGCTCCATGCGGAGTCATTCGCCTGCTCCAAGCGGAGTCATTCGCCTGCTCTAAGCGGAGTCATTTGCTGGCTCAGGTGCAGAGCCATCATACTAGTTGCTCGAATCGGCACTCCCAGCTTAATCCAAAACTCGGTTGCTCTGTTGTGAGGTGGGGGGATGCTAAATGAGCGTTAGCATGCTAACGCGAGTTAGCAGCCAGCCCAGTGAGCTGGCCCAACCTGCACGCATGCGCGAGTCACGTGGGCACGCGCCCTTCAAAATCCTGTACAATGTCTCTAGCATGTCATTGCTGTTTGGACTTTCGAGCATGCAACTTGCGGAACATGTGTTCCCAAACAATTACCTTCCCACCCTTCCACCCACTAGCTCAATTTATGTTTCTGGCGCACACATGACGGTATCTGTATACTCCATGAGAATATATGCTCTCAACTGGTTATGCATCTCAATATACTTAGCATTTGGCGGCTCTACTCAGAGCTATTGGCGCCTCCATGCGGAGTCATTGGCGGCTCCATGCGGAGTCATTTGGCGGCTTCTTGCGGAGTCATTCGGCGGCTCCATGCGGAGTCATTCGGCGGCTCCATGCGGAGTCATTTGCCGGCTCCATGCGGAGTCATTTGTCGCCTCCATTCGGAGTCATTCGCCTGCTTCAAGCGGAGTCATTTGCCGGCTCCATGTGGAGTCATTCGCCTGCTCCATGCGGAGTCATTTGCTGGCTCAGCTGCAGAGCCATCATACCAGTTGCTCGAATCGGCACTCCCAGCCTAATCCAAAACTCGGTTGCTCTGTTGTGAGGTGGGGGGGGGGGGGGGATGCTAAGGTCATGTAACTCATGTTGGATAGCCACATGGTAAGCCTATGGGACTATGACCAGCCGCTTGCACAGTAGCACTACGTTGCACGTACGATGATCTTCCTGCCTCTGCGCACATGCATAATGATGTGTCACACTTGATGTATCGTGTGTAAGAAATATCGGAAATAAGAATAGAAAGTCGTTTTTCAAACACCACGCTATAACCGATACCTACTGTACAAGATGTGTGTCGTATGACCTACAGACAGGACACCACCTCCACAATACGAGCATGAAAGTACGAGATGGTGGAGCGCTCTGGTGGTACTTTACGGTACATGTAGTTATCAACAAGTTACAAGCTAGCACTAAGACATACCAGTAACAATGTAAGTGAGCATTTCATCAAGTGCTGCTATAAGTTTGTACACACACTTGAGAGGAATCAAAAGCGTTTCTGCTGTAACTCTGAGTTGCACGGTTATAAGTTTGTATATAATTATCTATAAGTGACTGGAATTTCGAAAAAAAGGAACTTGACAAAAATAATTATATCTCTGAAATATTCTAACGTCCTTGGCCTAATAAAAATAATTCCATTATATGTATTCATAAAATTCAAAAGAAATGTTTCATGTATCTGCATGACTATAAGTAGTAATTCTGCAACAGGCATAGTAACCTGGTGTGGTCCTCTACAATTAGCTGTCTCTACTGTCTAACCTACTAGACTATTTCATTTCCGTATATTTAGTGGGGTGGTGATCAAGCATAACATAATGTAGCTAACATTTGGCAAATGTGACTAAGGAAGAATGGATTTGATGAATAGCATAGCCAGTCAGTAACATAGAGAACACAGAACGGAGAGAGAGAGAGAGAGAGAGAGAGAGAGAGAGAGAGAGAGAGAGAGAGAGAGAGAGAGAGAGAGAGAGAGAGAGAGAGAGAGAGAGAGAGAGAGAGAGAGAGAGAGAGAGAGAGAGAGAGAGAGAGAGAGAGAGAGAGAGAGAGAGAGAGAGAGAGAGAGAGAGAGAGAGAGAGAGAGAGAGAGAGAGAGAGAGAGAGAGAGAGAGAGAGAGAGAGAGAGAGAGAGAGAGAGAGAGAGAGAGAGAGAGAGAGAGAGAGAGAGAGAGAGAGAGAGAGAGAGAGAGAGAGAGAGAGAGAGAGAGAACAGTACCAGTGCGTGCTGCGTGAAGTGCTTGACACCTCAATCTGTGATGGAGCAAACAGAGATACAAAGACGATCACATAATAGTATACACCAGAGCTAGAATGGATTGGACGCATGCACATGCACACATACACACATACACACACCACACAAACACATACACACACACACAAACACACACACACACACACACACACACACACACACACACACACACACACACACACACACACACACACACACCCTGAATCCACACTCATGCACACAAATTTAAAACATTTCTGGCGTTTTAAGATGCGACTAGCACTCCGGAAAATATGCTATATAGTAGAACATGCGCTCCACTTTTCCAGTCGTCAGGAACTTTGACTTTTCTCCAATTTGATTCATGCATAACGGATACCTCAACTGCATACTTTCTATCACAGCTGGGACAATATCTGATAAGAAACACAGCATCGCAGCCAAACAACAGACGTACATTGCAATGACTTATTCGGAATTCAGGTAGTGCAAGAAATGAATGCAACCTACCGTTTACACACGAGCCCGCCGTGGCAGAAGCTGGTTCATCTTGTCGACCTTGTCGGGATAGATACCCCAGCAATTGATCAGCTTCACCAGCTTGATGTAGCCAGCCTGTTCCTCGCTGCTTACAATGTTGACCAACTTTTCGTTGTGAGTGCGCGTTCCATCTAGTTTCTCAATCCTCTGCAAGTCTGCTATCTGCTCCAGATCGGCGAAGAACCCGGCCGCTTGCGCCATCTTACGAAATGTTCCCGCTGGTAATTTGCCCAACCAAGGCGAAATATCGGTTAGAAAGGCACGCTGTTGGAATGGGTCGCCGTACAACTCCTCATCCTCATCTAATCAAGAATTACATGGGATAAAAATATGAACAAAAATACAAAGAAGTCTGAGGAAAGTGTTGAATGGCCTCTGCTGGGATAACGACTACACCATAGCTCAGTGGTTAGAGCATCGCTGGCTACAAGCGAGGGTCCCTGGTTCGAGTCCTGGTGGTGACAGTCAATTTTTTCTTCAGACTTTTCCCGTTTGTCTCTTTCCCTCAAACCAGTTAAAAATACAAAAAATTGATTTATGGCCAGCCGTATACGTTAGGTTAATACAGCCAGGTTCTAGAGTGTCGATGTGCATCACTCCAGTCTGGACCTGTACATCATCAGTGGTTGATCTAAGTACGCTTATACCATGGCAATGGCTAACCTGGCAAGGATTCTTGGCATCTAAATCACTGTTGTGCTACATGCATGTGGCTCCATTTCAGTATGCCATGTATACTTTTATACACACCAAACACTGTATTTAACCCTTTCACTGCCGCTGTCGACTGCAGTCGACAGCGCATTCATGCACTCCGAGTGCCATTGTTGACTTGCGTCGACGAGTAAACATGCAGTCCCCAGTGCTGTTGTCGACTTCCGTTGACAGGCAGACCTCACCCAGTTTGTGCCTCTATTTTCGAGTATTGGAGATGTTTAGCCGTGGTAGACGGCCCCTGGGCCCTGGAAGATGTCCATACCCATCGAAATACGCTTCCAGAAGTATGGGTTGCCATTTGAAAAAAAAGAACCAGCGTCGTTGAAAATGCGCATCCAATTTTTGGCCGAGCGGCGAGGAAGAAATCGGTTCTCACGCACTTCCACCTCGCTGAGTCGGTGCCAGTGTTTTCCTGGGTAGAGACAACCAGACGATGGATTCCTCGCGGACGCATTCACTGCAAACTTGACGGAAACAGCGCTGGCGGCGGTCACTGGGTCCAAAAATATAATTTTCTAAGAACTACCACGTTACAATGGCGACCAGCACGGTCAAGAGACACTACAGGTATGTCACCTACAACATAATTATAATATTCTTTCTACAACGACACCTACCTAGCACCTCTGGCTCAATACCTGACGATCTACTTCAAGCTGATGCGAAAGTGAATTACACCCGCGAACGCCGCGCTTGTCAACGGAACAGGGAAGCGCTTCACTCTCCAAAGTCGAAAAGTGTTTGGACTGCTGCTAATTGGGAGAACAAACGACCACCATGGCGGCTGAACATTCGGCAGCCGTTCACCGACACGATCCGCTTCACCAAAGGACTTAAGAACGTTTCGTTCTCCGAGTTTTCTGGTGGCAGCAACAAGAATTTCATCCGCAACGACAGGACAAAAGTCTCTCGCAACTGCAGTCCTGTTGCCACGAAGATAGAGGAGATTCCGCAAGCCATCTCTTCTGCGTCCAGTGCTGTAGTTCTCCTGTCCACTGGCATATCTTTCAATCCCAGCGAACGAAAAAAAGGATCTGCTTCTCTCTCCAAAACTACAACTAACTAACTTTAATTCGCGGGTGGCCCGGCCGATCCTGTGTATAGTGTATGTAGCGCATGCGGCGCACGGCACACTTTCGCATGACATGACACGCATTTTTGCACAACGGCTGGCGCTAGAAAAAATCCCAAAATCTGAACTACAAACGTGCTGCGCGATCTAGTGCCAGCCGTTGTGCACAAATGCGTGTCATGTCATGCGAAAGTGCGCCGTATGCTGCTGCAGCTAAAGTTGCCACTGCTTGTGTTGATACTGGTGAAGGTGCTACTGCTGCTGATGCTACTGCAGCTAACAGTGCTGCTGGTGTTTGGGGAGAGGAAGATAGTTATTTTTGCTTTAATCCCTGTAAGAGTCCATGAAGAGAAGGGAACGAAAACGTTTGGTTCTAAAATTTCCTAGTGTTCATTTGGACCGGTGTGGATTGCGTGGATGCATGTACTGCATTCAAGAACAACCAGTTTCATTTAACATGAAAGAGTGGTAGCGACCTCGGCGATAATCGTATAAGAAAGTTAGTTGCTCCCACACTGAAATAGTCAGTGGTGAGTCAGTCAAAGGTCAAGTCAGGTCGACGGGAATAGCGAGAGTTGCAGTGTGAGAGCAACCAACTTCCTTACAGCTCCATTTAACGTAAACATTATTAAAAGATTGCGCAGGTGTGCTTAGCCGTCCCCAGTCATGATCGGCAGAGATAAAACACCAGTTCAGACAACAAGTTGACAACAACCTGCATCAAGCAGTGGAGTCGACTTGGTTACGGATGCCCATTGCAGCTGATGCTGCACTTGATGGGTGTCCAAGGCAAGCCATGGCAATAAAAACAAAAAAGTACTCAGGAGTCAGTACCACTCTTAGGGAACATGACTTCAATAGGAACACTGGTTAAAAAACAATGTACAAGGACATCACCTCCTCATCAAAGTCTACACATACACGTGCATACAATGACAAGAGGGTATTGCAAAACAATTCAACCAGCTCAGGGGCACTCATTAGCTCTGAAGATATTTTCGCCGGGTTGAACCACACAATTAGTATATTTGGACGTCACCGAGAATGTTCAGATACAAAGGAAATTTAGGCCACCAGCCTCACGCTCATTTTCTCCGAAATTCGCCCGCAATCGAACGGCTCCTACACTCCCAGAGAATAAGGTTGACTCCAGAACTACTTCAAACTACGTTTACTCATAATTCGCTACATACACACGGCTAAAACTCTGCCGTGTCCTTGCTGGAGAAAATATATTCACCAACCGGCATCATTGAAATACACATGAATCACGGTGTCCAAAAGCAACCAACCTCTCTCGTCGCCTTTCTCCTCTCCACCGATGAACGGTTCAATCGAGCTCACAAACGCATGCCGGTCGGCAATCTGATCGAATGTCTTTTCACTGCAGTGCAGAGTGGTACCAATAACAAAACAGCACAAAACAGAACGAAACAAAAACTAGAAACAGGTCCACGTTCTAGGTAGGGCCGTAACAGAAGAGCCTCCCTCAGTGGACAGTAGAGCCTCTCCCTCCAGTGGACACCATAGAGTGCCTGCCCCCCCCCCCCCCCCCCCCCAGTGGACAGTAGAGCACCCCCCCCCCCCCCCCCCCCCCCAGTGGACAGTAGAGTCCCACCTCGGTGGACAGTAGAGCCTTGAAATGCAATGCAGCATTTTGTGATCAAAAAGACCCCCTCACTAAATGTGCAGGCAGCGTGTTGTCAGTGTTTCCATTACCCTGAACACTTCGTTAATGAAAGCGGTCGATTGGTCAGCTCCAAGGCAACGTATTTGACCTCTTTATAAACCTGCGAGGAAAGCCTTCACTAACCCAATGGCACCAAGCGACATGAATTCAGCGTCGTGAACACCGCTTTCACCAGCGCTGTGATGACCGCTTCCTGGAGCACCGTGACCACCGCTTCTACTGTCCACACTGGCACAGGCTTCTGCTGCAAGGAAACAGACGGCGTGCCATTGGAGTGGCCAAGAGACATGCACACACACGCGCACACACACGCACGTGCGCGCACGCACCCGCACACACACCCGCACACACACGCACACACACACACACACGCACACGCACACACACACACATGCAGATGCAACGTATACATGTACACACACAGGTGGGCACGCACACACGGTTTGTTGCAGAAGTTTATTGTCACCACTGAAACAAACATGGTTCATTTCGTACTCGGATGGACCCCTCACTCCTCCGAAATGAACACAGTTTGCAATGCTGGACACCACAAATCAAGTGCATTTACACGTAGTGCATTGTTGGGCAAGTTACGATTTTCGACCTCCCACCCTCCTCCTCCTCTGCTGCGGACGATGTTCGCTTCAGGGCGACAAAATATGACAGCGACCCCATAGCAATTCTATGACAATGTAATGTCAGTTGTCCAGGGCCCAAAACAGAGTCAGAACTGCAGTGTTGGCTGGGATCAAACACCAGCTTGCCGTGAGAAGAGGCTCAAATTTTACATTCTATCCACAGCAGATATGGTCCTGTGCTCATGCAGTGTTCAATACCCGAACGGGAATAGCTAGCTCAAAACGAAAATAGAACAGCGTACCGGTTTCCTTGCGACTAAAGGTTCACACGAATGCAGACATCATGCAAACCATCATTTGGAAGTAGCAGATCTGTTTGAATTGTGCATCCAACTAACCTGAAGGAAGAGAGGTCGATCTCGGGTCAAACAGCTTTCCACATACATCCTGCAGGTATTGCAAGAGACCAAGTACACGCAAGCACATGCCCACGCCCACACGCCCACACACACACACACACACACACACGTCCACCCACGCACGCACACACCCGCACGCACACACCCGCACACCCACACACCGGCACGCACGCGCACGCACACACACATACACACACGCACACACAAATACATGTAAATACACACGAGCAAAAGCACACATGCATGCAAACACGCACACGCACAAGCCATAATTGCCGAAGTCAAAGTAGGCTCAAAATGGTTATCTCCTCATCCACATGACGGGAATACGTGGCAAGTTTTAAGAAAATAGAGACATGGTGCAACTTTGTGTGTGAAGAACTCTCCTCCTAAACAGAGATAATACAGAATTACAACAAGACCTGGTGGAAATTGTCTCTTGGTTCGTGCCCCCCCCCCCCCCACAAAAACATAATATGAACTAAAGCTAGCGGCAGGCGCTACTAACGTAATGTCTTTTGCATAGCTGCGGGAATTCAATCAGGTCAAGGCTCTCACCTGGTCAAGGCCCAGCCAGAACATGGCCTGCTCACGGAGCGACATGAATTCAGCGTCGTGAACACCGCTTTCACCAGCGCTGTGATGACCGCTTCCTGGAGCACCGTGACCACCGCTTCTACTGTCCACACTGGCACAGGCTTCTGCTGCAAGGAAACAGACGGCGTGCCATTGGAGTGGCCAAGAGACATGCACACACACGCGCACACACACGCACGTGCGCGCACGCACCCGCACACACACCCGCACACACACGCACACACACACACACGCACACGCACACACACACATGCAGATGCAACGTATACATGTACACACACAGGTGGGCACGCACACACGGTTTGTTGCAGAAGTTTATTGTCACCACTGAAACAAACATGGTTCATTTCGTACTCGGATGGACCCCTCACTCCTCCGAAATGAACACAGTTTGCAATGCTGGACACCACAAATCAAGTGCATTTACACGTAGTGCATTGTTGGGCAAGTTACGATTTTCGACCTCCCACCCTCCTCCTCCTCTGCTGCGGACGATGTTCGCTTCAGGGCGACAAAATATGACAGCGACCCCATAGCAATTCTATGACAATGTAATGTCAGTTGTCCAGGGCCCAAAACAGAGTCAGAACTGCAGTGTTGGCTGGGATCAAACACCAGCTTGCCGTGAGAAGAGGCTCAAATTTTACATTCTATCCACAGCAGATATGGTCCTGTGCTCATGCAGTGTTCAATACCTGAACGGGAATAGCTAGCTCAAAACGAAAATAGAACAGCGTACCGGTTTCCTTGCGACTAAAGGTTCACACGAATGCAGACATCATGCAAACCATCATTTGGAAGTAGCAGATCTGTTTGAATTGTGCATCCAACTAACCTGAAGGAAGAGAGGTCGATCTCGGGTCAAACAGCTTTCCACATACATCCTGCAGGTATTGCAAGAGACCAAGTACACGCAAGCACATGCCCACGCCCACACGCCCACACACACACACACACACACACACACGTCCACCCACGCACGCACACACCCGCACGCACGCACACACCCGCACACCCACACACCGGCACGCACGCGCACGCACACACACATACACACACGCACACACAAATACATGTAAATACACACGAGCAAAAGCACACATGCATGCAAACACGCACACGCACAAGCCATAATTGCCGAAGTCAAAGTAGGCTCAAAATGGTTATCTCCTCATCCACATGACGGGAATACGTGGCAAGTTTTAAGAAAATAGAGACATGGTGCAACTTTGTGTGTGAAGAACTCTCCTCCTAAACAGAGATAATACAGAATTACAACAAGACCTGGTGGAAATTGTCTCTTGGTTCGTGCCCCCCCCCCCCCACAAAAACATAATATTATGAACTAAAGCTAGCGGCAGGCGCTACTAACGTAATGTCTTTTGCATAGCTGCGGGAATTCAATCAGGTCAAGGCTCTCACCTGGTCAAGGCCCAGCCAGAACATGGCCTGCTCACGGATCGTCTGTATATCCCGCTTCTTTGAACGTGTACACAGTGGGTAGTCTTCAGCCACTAGGGTGGAAGTGTCCAAGGCGTGCGCACAGCTTGGTGCGCAGCACGTAGATAAGCCATGCTGTAGACACTCCTCGCCCGATGTTTCTCCGCAGGGGCATGGCAATGTGCTGATCACTTCGACCTGCAGGCCCCACTTCCGTAGCACTGTGAGCACGATTGCCCGGACTTCATCCAGCGTAGACTTTCCGCTGCCGCCGTGTCGGCCCTCGCACTCGACGTACACTTGTAAGCCGTAGCGTGTATAGTGCAGGTGCAGCCACGGCCAAACGCTGTTCCAGCGAAGGCGAACGCTGCACCGTGACAGCGTGGCAGCCGAGCGATTGTGTGACTTCAGCAGCACCTCCACCACGCATTGCCAGTACAGGAACACGGGAAAGTGCATCAACTCATCGCTGTCTGTGTGCTTAAAGGACACGTAGGCACAGGAACAAGGCAGCTGGGGGTCCGTGCCCATGTCCCGGACGATTGCAGGTACAATAAACTCGTGCTCATCCTGCACAATTGCCAGGACTGAGAGCCATTCTAGGATTTCAAAAATGAGCTTGAACCCATCACTGCTTGCTCTGAATGCTTGCCACGCCTTAGCATGGTCGCAGTAAGACTGACCCTCGAACATCTTGTTGAGAGCTTTGCGTGCCAGGGACTCCGTCATGAACCCAGACTTATAGCGCCGCGCTTCGTGCCTTGTGATGTCTCGGTCAAGCTTCATGTAGACAAAGGCATTGACACAGTCCAGGATGAACTGGGGCTCCAGGATGACCGTGTCTTTCAGCTTGAAAGTTGGGAAGTACGCCAGGTGGCCTGCTTCGTGGCAGTACTTCAGCAGCAGCTGTATTTGCCGGTCACTGCAGTCATGTGGAACAGCCTTGACTTGCTTCGCTATGAACTTTGCCTCCTTGAAGGAAATCCAAGGCCACGTGACCTCCTGCTTGAGCGTGTGTATGGTTATGCAGAATCGGAGCCATGGAACAGGGATGTTACGTTGGCTCTTCCGGCAGCGGTCGATGATGGCCTCTCTCAATCGCTGCAGCTCATCTGCTTGTGCTGCACTTCCAGTGGATCTGGTGCTGTCGATTTTGAAGTACGATGTTTCGTTCCAGACAAGGTACTTATACGGCGAACCTTCGATATTCTTTCGAAGTAGTTTACAAGGATCAGGCAAATCGGTTTTCTTCCACATGTCACTCTGACACCCCACTACAAACACATCATCTGCAGCACTCTGGTCTGTGCTGCTGTCAGCTTTCGCATTCAGCAGCAGCATGTCGAGCCAGCTTAGCAGCTGGTCTAGGCGAGTCGCATTGGCCGGTAGAGTGGCCCGCTCGATACATTCTTCCTGGCTGAACTGAAATTTATCGAGCTGGGGAAGGGTCTCTAGAAGGTCCAGAGAAGAGTTGTATGTGGCAATAAAGGTTGTGTTTTTGGCCATGAAGAGGGGCTGCACGGATTGGTAGACTTGCTGCCCTCCAAGGTCGCGGAATGTGATGACGGTATAGTCGGGCGTGTTGGCCCGGTCAGAGATGTACTTTACCCGGTCTGCGTTGAGAAATCCTGTGATGGTCTTGTGGATTTCCTCGCGCATTGCTGGCCCGTCGCTGCTGCTGCTGCTACTGCTGTCCTCCATAGGTCCTGCATGGGTCCCAACCACAGGATCCTCTCCTGCTGGGGCTCTCTCTCTGTCATCTTGTGTTGTCTCTTTGTCTTGGGGATGATTCGAAGTGGATGGTTTGCACATCATGGTGATGACGTAGAGTCGACTCAGAGCATCTGGCATGTCTGGGCATTCGATGAATCGACAGTCATCAGAGATGCTTGTAGTTGCGTAGGACGTGCGCATGCCGGGCGTGCTGAGTTCATTCTCATCGTGCATCTTCTCAAGCAACGCCTTCAGCAAGCTGGTCTTTCCAACGCGCGCCGCACCAAGTATTGCCACGTGCAGGAAATGGATGACGGTCGTACCGCCCAACCTGGCTGCCTCCTGCTCTGCTGCTTCGAGTTCACTGATACTTGGCAGAACAGCAGTATCTCCTGGGCACAGCGATAAGCACAGCACACATCAAAAAATGTTGTGTAACTGCAGGTGACATTTACAGTTTGTTGTTTCTTTTGTATTGCTAGCAAGAAATCATACAGTACAGGCAACAGGAATGCAAAACAAGTGAGAGTGCATCTTCACTGCATGCACTCGTATTATGAGAAAGCCCGCTTGACTCGCAAGTTTACGGTCACAGGTGGGTCTGAAAGTCATTGCTTCCCGCAGAATAACCACTCCATCACAGGAATATTGGCAGACAGGAGACACCTGTTATGGTGTTGCTACAGTTGAGGCACTGGGCTTTATAGAGTCCAGGGGCGTCACACACGGTACCACCAGCACCACCACGCTTGTACCACTTTTCGCCCCGGATGCTGCGCCCAATTCATCCAAAAAACAAGCAATAAAAGAGCACTTAAATGTGCGCTGTTCACCCAAAAATCACTATTTACCAATGTTGCAAAGAATAGCAAAATCACAAACGAATATTCTAACAAATATGCACAGTACGAAAAATATTCTACTATTCTACCCTTACAGACGAGCCCATTTCAGCACACTATACTTTCTTGTTTATTTGAGCCAGCGCGTGCTAAGACATGACCACAGCTTTTGTGGAAAAAGTCGAGAAAATCGCGATTTGAATTCCGCGACAACAAAATACGAAGTGGAGTGCGACGCGAGTTGCTGTTCTTGTTCTCCTCGGTAGACTGGACTGTTCTGGATGCAACTCTTTGTTGCAAGTACATGAAAGTTTATTCGTTTGAGTTTGGATTCCATGTTGCACTGAGTCTCCTAAAACGGATCGTCAACGGTGTATCGAAGGAAGAGGCTAATGTACTTCGGAGCGGAAGAAGTCGACATCCTCGCGTTCCATGCGCTGCTACGACCAGCTGTGCCAGAAGCCATCACGAAAAACGAACTGGATGTCCAGAACGTTCTTCAAAGTGAAAGAGAGGGATGAGTTGGACCGCACTAAAATAGTAAAGAAGAAGGCACCATGGGCTCCCACTTCGCAACAGTACAGTGTGGGTACTGTATTCGTACAATTACACGTGCCCTTCGCAACTGTACTACAGTGCCAGCACTCTATTGTTACTACTACTAACTGTCTGGCGAGCGCTCACACATCCCGGATTCGTCAAGTACACGTACGGTAACCGCTGTACTGTAATCTGTAGCAGCAGCCCTAGCTCTATTGCCGCTAGCGCAGGGTCCACATGTACTCGTACAAAACTAGCATGCATGCCACACATAGAACATGATTGTACAGCTCTTCGAACGAACTTTATTACTATTCGACTATTCGTGTGCATCACTGGCCATTCGTAACTTTTTTGGCGAAAAAGAAGTTTGAGAATTGATTTGTCACTTACCTGCCTGCAGCTGTTTGGCCTCCTTCATAGAGAGTCAGAAAAAAACAGAGACACAAATCACACATATGTGTTAGACATGCTCTCTCTCTCTCTCTCCCTCTCTCTCTCTCTCTCTCTCTCTCTCTCTCTCTCTCTCTCTCTCTCGTCGTTCATTTGCCCTCGCTGGGCAGTATAGTTTAGGCCCTAGCGGGCAGTATGCTTTTCCCTTGGCGGGCAGGTTGTCGGCCTCGATGGCTGTTCGTTTGCTCAATAGGCAGTATGATTTAGCCCTCGGTGGGCAGTATATAATCGGCCCATGGTGGGCAGCATGCTTTGGCCCTCGGTGGGTACTATGCTTTATCCCTTGGCGGGAAGTTTGCTTTAGCCCTCGTTGGGCAGGCTATTGGCCTCGACGGCCGTTGTGCACCCTCGGTTGGGCAGTATCCTTTAGCCTTCGGTAGGCAGGTTGCTGGCCTCAGCGGCCATTCGCACGCCCTCGATTGGGCTATACGCTTATTCTTGCGCCCTCGGTCGGGCTACAATCATGCGCCCTCGGTCGGGCTATAATAATGCGCCCTCGGTGGAGCTATAATCATACGCCCTCGGTCGGGCTACAATCATGCGCCCTCTGTCGGGCTACAATCACGCGCCCTCGGTCGGGCTATAATCATGCGCCCTCGGTGGGGCTATAATCATGCGCCCTCGGTGGAGCTATAATCATACGCCCTCGGTCGGGCTATAATCATGCGCCGTCGGTCGGGCTAAAATCATGCTCCCTCGGTCGGGCTACAATCATGCGCCCTCTGTCGGGCTACAATCACACGTCCTCGGTCGGGCTATAATCATGCGCCCTCGTTAGGGCTATAATCATGCGCCCTCAGTCGGGCTATAATCATGCGCCCTCGGTCGGGCTATAATCATGCGCCCTCGGTCGGGCTATAATCATGCGCCCTCGGTCGGGCTAAAATCATGCTCCCTCGGTCGGGCTACAATCACGCGCCCTCGGTCGGGCTATAATCATGCGCCCTCGGTAGGGCTATAATCATGCGCCCTCGGTCGAGCTATAATCATGCGCCCTCGGTCGGGCTATAATCATGCGCCGTCGGTCGGGCTACAATCATGCGCCCTCTGTCGGTCTACAAGCACGCGCCCTCGGTCGGGCCATAATCATGCGCCCTCGGTAGGGCTATAATCATGCGCCCTCGGTCGAGCTATAATCATGCGCCCTCGGTCGGGCTATAATCATGCGCCCTCGGTCGGGCTATTATCATGCGCCGTCGGTCGGGCTAAAATCATGCCCCGTCGGTCGGGCTAAAATCATGCGCCCTCGGTCGGGCTACAATCATGCGCCCTCTGTCGGGCTACAATCACGCGCCCTCGGTCGGGCTATAATCATGCGCCCTCGATCGGGCTATAATCATGCGCCATCGGTCGGGCTATAATCATGCGCCCTCGGTCGGGCTATAATCATGCGCCCTCGGTCGGGCTACAATTATGCGCCCTCGGTCGGGCTATAATCATGCGCCCTCGCTTGGGCTATACGCTTCTTCGCGCGCCCTCGCTTGGGCCGTATGCTTTAACTCTCGATGGGTAAGCTGTTGGCCTCGGCGGCCATTCATGCGCCTGCAGCGGGCAGGTTACTGGACACATTGGCCATTTGTGCACCCTTGGTGGGCAGTATGCTAACGGCCCACGGCGGGTAGTATTACTTAGCCATCAGTGGGCTGGCTGTTGGCCTCGCTAGCCGCTCGTGCCACCGGTCCACGGTGGGCAGCTGCAGGCTAGCCCTCGGTGGGCCGTTCGTGCGTTTGCCCCCGGTGGGCAGTGTGAATCACTGACGATCGAACGTGATGATGTGACTCAACTATTATCGTTTGTTTTCTTGGAACTGGTCTATCATCACGTACTATTATCTTTAATCAAATTGAAGTCATGGCAACCCCCAAACCTATGTGTTGATTGCTTGTGAGTGAGTGCGTCAGTCAGTACGTCGTTGTACGGACAGACTGGGCGTGGGAGTGTCTGCAATTACGTTTGTGCACATGAATGTGTGTGTGTGTGTGTGTGTGTGTGTGTGTGTGTGTGCGTGTGTGTGTGCGTATGCAGAGGTATGCCCGCAGACCTGGGTGTGTACCCGTGGGCCTGGGTTTTAAATTTTTTAATTCCCGTTTGAAAAAATATCCCACACACTACATTTGCAGCGCGCACTTTCAACATCGGCACTTTTGCTCGTGTGCAAAGTATAATAGTGAGCACAAGGGCCCCGGCCAAGTTCAAAAATTAGTTGCAAGCGTGTGTCCAAGTTTATCGTATGCGAGTAAATATCCTTGGAAACGGTACGATAAATTTGAGTTTGCACGTCGTGTGAATGGCCTACTTCCTCCGTTAACAACTTCGAGATTGATATTTGAGAGACTGGTTTGCACACAAACTGCTGTGAAATGAGTCACAATCACTTTCTCGGCCTTCCCTCGCCTGCCATGAAAAAAGGTACCATGCAAGGAAAGCGACCTTTCACAACAAGCGAGCGGAATCGATGGTTGAGCTGTGGCAACATAGGTGAGGACAGTAATGGCGAGCGTAATTGAAATATCACTTCTCCGAGGGGGTAATACGCTGCTTGGCCTCTCTACTACTCTAGCACTGAGTTTGAGAGCGATGGAACGGAGCAGCAAGCCCGCACAATGAGCGAGTGAACAAGGAGGTGCTCCGATCGCACGGCGCAATGAAATAATTCTGAACTCAGGTTCTTGTTCAACCTGCGCAAAGCCCAGATTCGAATGCTGATGACCGTGCATTCTTTCAGAAGTCTGCAGTCCGACGCAAGTCTCGTGGCTAAAGAAAGCCGACTGGACTTGCTAGCCGCTGCCGTTCAGTGCTGGCAGGGTATCAATCACAGAAAATGGAATCAGTTTGGCTGTGCCTTTAGTACTCCTTTACTCCTCGTTTCGCGGAGTTCTGGAGAGCGAAGATGAAACCAGGGAGTCGTAAAATATCTTTACGACTCCCTGGTGGAAACGAGTAATCACCACCGCGGCGGATCACGCAGCTTGAAAGCACACTTACTTCAACGACGGCGACATCAAGTTCAGCCAAGTGTGATCAAAGAAGCCGAGGCAAGGCTGAAACGAGCTGAACAACGACTCGAACGAGATGACGACTCGCGCGCAGCAGATGACGGCAGCGAACCAGGGTCGAAAATTAGTCGAACAAAAGCGACGCAAACTGAACTATCTGCTCATTCTGTCAACAGTTTCTCTTGTAAAGATGCTGTACATAGGCTGAACTACCTTCGTCCAGTGATTTGCAGGCGATACAAACTGTTCTTGACCTATTCTAAGCGTTTTCGTATCGATCAAAATCCATCACGAAGTTTTTGTTAACGGATGAAGTACTTTGTCCGCCAAGTTAAAATTGCCACTTATCTTCACTCTTGTCTCAAAACGAAAATACAAATATTCGAAGCATGCCACGATCAGAAAACGCTACGTATATGATACTTTACACAGCAGAAAGCAGCTCAGCCGAAAATCCTAGCAAGTTACACATCCTCCTCGCCACTATCGTCGCTGGAGGAAGAGCTCAAAACATTCAATCCAGACAGATGCTGCTCGTTTTATAGCTTGTTCCACTTCTCCTCGTCTCGAATTACGCTCAAAGGCAGTCACCTGTCGTGCCTGTCATCTTGCCGCTCAGAAGCTGAGTGAGAGTACCCGTGTGGTGGCTGTATGCGTTATCCCCGTTCGTCGCAATAAATGCCTTTGTTTGAGGCAAAAAGGCAACACCACATCACTGCCAGTTTTCAAATCGCCTCTTGCGCTTGTCGTACTTGCTGATCACCACCCACGCAAGCCGCTGGTGCTTGTAGTGCAGTGATAGCTTCTGCTTGATGTAGCACATGTGCGTACTGCACCTAACGTCTTGCACCAGTGTTGCACTGACTCTGGAGCAGGCGTAGCTCTTTTCTGCGAGATTCCTGCAAGTTGTTTGCACAAGAGTTTCCCTCAGGAGTTGGTGTTTATTTTGATCAGCTCCTTTGCCAAGTCCTCTGTGAGCTTCAGAGTGTGTCTGCCGGATTGGTCTCGCATTCTGGAGATGTCGATATGATCTGTAGTTTCTTCGTCGGTGATTTGCTGGTGAGAACGCTTCACTAGCCGCTGTACAGTGCGAGTATTCAACTTCAAGCTAGCGATGTGCTTTTTCAGCTATTCTATGCCTCCCCGCGGAAAACCATCCTTGCCACCAGACAGCTGGAAGTAGGCAGAAACTGTATTCGCCATCGCTCTGAATTGTGAACATCCTGACCTGTTTTACGGACTGGAGCGGAGGTTGCAGCCTTTTATTGCGGTGACGGAAGTGTTCGTCGGTGGCAGCTCCAGTCAAAAAGATTCAAACGAACTGATTACAACTTCTGTGGTGGTTTGTGCTGCCATATTGTCGGATGCAATGGTCTATGGTTATGTTCGGATGGTGAATCGGTGGTTCCATGCGGTATGACGCAGGCAGAACACCGAAAAATCAAGTGCGAAGATAAGCGCCAATTGTAACTTGGCGGACCAAGTATTAGCAAACGTCACTTGTCTAGTGAGAATGTGCCTTGTCGTCGTACACAGTATATTCACCATCATACTTTATTCCAACAGGAGTGCATAAAACATTTGGAAATTTGAGAAAAGTCACAAAAAGAGGCGCAATTTACTGCGCTTTCTCCGTATCCTTGTTGAAATCGCACGTACTGGATTAAAAAAAAACCACTCGTTGCGGTCATGACGAGTAGACCCCTCCGAACTCATCAATCACCAGTGTGCTTCGCGGGGTCAGGATGGGATTCTAACACAGTTTCCTAATTCGTCTTGCCGTTTCACGGCTTGCAAATGGTCCCAATTATCACATGCACTTGGCGTCTGGTTGATCAAATGCAGTGATACCCTACAAAAGCCGGCCGGCACCAAATTTAGCGCTTGGTGCACAGAATAGGATATAGTTTAGGCGATTGCTACATTCATCCCCTCCCCCCATTTTTATTGGAGCATATGCTGTTCTTCATCATGTTTTGGCTGCTCACTGACAACAGGTACTGGCACCTCCGCGTCGGGCGGAATGTCAGTCCGCTCCGAACTGGACTGGCAATGACTTGATCACTCCCACTGTTTCCTGTTGGAACAGGAATTGCACCGTCGCAAGAATACTTTGCAAAAATCCATCCAGGCTCTGCTAGCCAGAGCTTGGCTTCTTTGGTCCATGGATGTTGCTGAGACTTTGCAGAAAAAATCTTCAAGTCCACCAATTCGTGATTCGAATCTGGAGGGGATCATCCTCAAAACATCGTTGTACAACGTTGCAAAAAGAGGCGGTTGACGACCACCAGCTTTGTTTTTGTCCCACTTGAGCAGCGCTGCGTTCAGCACATCACTGCACGCCTTTCTCAAGACGCATCGAGCGCGTCCTGGAATCTGTACAAAAGTCTAGAGCTCGTACAGAGTCGAGCGTTTCTTTCGCAGTGCAATCAATGCCGCTCACACACCAACGGCCCGTGCAACCTCTTTTGGACGACCCCTAATGAAAACTGTACAAGCTCACGCGCCCACAGACTCGTAGTACATGCCTCGTACGGTATGACTCATCATCTCCAGAAAAGTCAACAAAACGAAACATTCCGCCATGGCCAGACCAAGCGGAGTTACACACTCTCGTGTTTATGTAATCTTGATCTCATAGACAGCTGTACAAATGTAGGACATGGACGGTGGTAGGTGCACCTCACATGACTCACGTGACACCTAGTCACTGCATAGTTCAACCAATCAAATGTACGACACGCTGCAATGTTTACTGTATACACACAGTACATCTAAATTCAGTCACTCACAGTCAAGTCTATTCAACATACCTTCGCACTCTCGTGATCCACCAGCAACTGCACACATTCCTCATACAACTGTTTCCTGGCTAGATCCAACGCTGTTTTCCCATCCTGAGTAACTCAAC